AATCCGAGCCTGTAGGCTATGCCAAAAATTCTCCGTAGACTCTGCATAAACTGGGTTAGATCTGTATATCTCCTCGGACGAGACTCTGGCCATTGGCATAGCCTCATCTGGGTTCCTCTCTACCTGAAGGCAGAGAGTTCGACAAGCGTTAAGAGCTGAGCACGCGGCGCCAGCTCAAGGTGCCTAACTACCTGATCATCAGAAAGCCAGTGGCTGTAGTAGTAAATTGAGTACCCTATATACCACCGGCCGAGTTCAAATTTGACAGACAAACCAAACTCGCCCGGCAGGGAGGTTAAATCATCCATCCAAGATCTAAAATAGCTGCGAATTATAAAGAACCTCCCATCACTAGAACCTCGTTCTACTATCAACGAGCGGATGACTTCCTCCGCGATGTCCCCTGGGATGTTGTCTTTACACTCCCTGTCCAAGAATGTGCTTCTGAGGTCTCATCCTGGGTTAAAGCTGGAATCGACGCTTTCATCCCCTCAAGGAAATTTAAGGTCAAGTCGCACTCCTCCCCTTGATTCTCCGCTGATTGCTCAGCCGCCATTGCCCATAGGAATCACTTCTTTCACATATTTCGTAGCGACATGTCGGACTGCAATAAACGTCTGTTTGTCTCCGCCCGTAACGAGTGTAAGCGTGTCCTCAACGAAGCTAAGTCAATATTTGCTGCTCGGATGAAGGAACGTATTGCATCTCGCAAATTTGGCTCCAAAGATTATTGGCGGCTTTGCAAGAGTGTCCTGAACAATAAAAAACCCTCCATACCTCCTTTATTCAACCAGTTCGAGGTCTTGACCTCTTCTACCGACAAGGCTGAATGCTTTGCTCGGAAATTCTCATTTAATTCAACGCTCGACTCCTCCGGTGTGCCCATACCAGACTTCCCTCTAAGAACTGAGGCCCTATTGAGCGGCTTACACATAACCCCGTCATTGGTACTGGGCATTATCTCCAATTTAGACCCCCACAAGGCTAGTGGTGGAAATGGCATACCAGCCATTGTCTTGAAGAAATGCGCGCCTGAACTAGCGCCCGCCCTCTCTAAACTGTATAATTACTGCCTCAAAGAATCCTGTTTTCCTGACTGCTGGAAGTCCTCATCCATTTTTCCTGTCTTTAAGAACTCTGGAGACCCCTCTGACGCCTCTAATTACCGTCCTATTAGTCTCCTACCCCTCTTCGGCAAAGTCTTTGAAGCCCTAATCAATGCCGAAGTGGTTAACCACCTTACATCCCATGATCTGCTCTCAGACAAACAATATGGTTTCCGCTACGCCCGATCTACAGCTGATGTGCTTACGGCCATCACTGAAACTGTCTACCAAGCTCTTCAAAATAACGGTGAGGCTCGTGCCGTGGCCCTAGACATCTCCAAAGCGTTTGATAGGGTTTGGCATGCCGGCCTTCTTCGTAAGCTCCAGGGCTATGGTATTACAGATCGATTGTTTGATCTAATACAATCATTCCTGTCAAACCGTGAATTGAAGGTCGCTCTCAACGGATTCTCCTCCAGTTCCTATCCCACGAACGCAGGTGTTCCCTAAGGCTCCATCCTTGGCCCCACTCTATTCCTTATTTTCATCAACGACCTTCCTGACGCCATAGATTCCCAAGTTAGCATCTACGCAGTCCTGTTGTAACTAAGTAGTCTAGCATATCTGGACATTGTCCTTGGAAATAGCGATAAAGCAGTGAAAGGCTCATCTGTGAGAAAAGAGTTGGAGGGTGGAAAATAATTACTCGTATATATGTGTATATATCGGAGGCACTGTGGAGTAATGGATATCGACTCGGATCGAGGAATCGAAAAGCCGAGTTCGAATTCCAGTCTTACGTGTTAATACCCTTGGGAAAGGTATGAGTCAGCTTCTTCTCCCCTCAGCTATAGGTAAATAGCAGGACTCTCCGGTTTCTATAGCCTTGGATGGCAATTGGTCTACCGCAGAAAGAAATGGCAACCTACTGAGGGGAAAAATCTGCCTCGTCAATCATGCATCGAAAGATACATGATCGCCTAATCGTGTATCACGCATGGCACATAAATGACTGACCCTTGAGAAAGGTATGAATCCTCTTCCCCCACCCCGAGCTGTGGGTAAATAGCAGGACAGGCCGTGTTCTATAGACTTGGATGGCAAATGGTCTACTGCAGAAAGAAAAGCAACCTACAGCGGGAAAGAATCTGCCTCGTCAGTCATGTATCGAAAGATACATGATCGCCTAAGCGTGTATAACGCATGGCACATAACTAACTGACCTTTCGTCCACCGGGGTAGATTGTTCTAGTTCCACGTGCCATGCCTCTTCCGGATGTGCCAGTTATTTTCCTTTAACTCAACTCTCCAAGTCTGGTTCACCACTGCTGTGGTTTGGTATTGAACTCAAGGCTCTTTGAGTTAAAGAGAAAAAAACTGAAACATCTGGAAGAGTCATGGCACGTGGAACTAGAACAATCTACCCCCCCTCCCCCGGTGAACGAAATAAAGGGTTCGGTTTGAAATTCCAGTCACCTGAAGAAGGCCGGAAGGTACAACGGCTGAAACTTTGTTAGTCTAAGAACCAAAATGAGCATACTTGTCCGTATATCAAAGTCTAACAATGATAATAAGAATAAAGGTAACTTCCTCACAAGTCTACGATTATAAATATGAATTTAATTGTATATATCTGATAAATGTAAATTAATATTTAGATCTGTAGAACATCATCTATCTTTGCCTTATAATCTCTTACATTTCAGATATCCCAAGAAAAAAGACTTCTTTGCTGACATCTGAGTAGTCCCTAAAAGAATCTGACAACTTTTTCATCTTCAATATAGTTGAAACTGTGTCTAAATATGAAAACCAAGTTTTAAATAATTCTATATAGATATTAACTACTCTTTTCCCACCCTTATATTTGAGACATGAGTGGCTTGTAAAAAGTATAGAGATCACGGTTTTTCTTTACATTAATTACATTATTCGGACTGTTATCCTCATTTTCATCGCCATATCCACAACGTTTTGGCCGTTGTAGTCTCCGGCCTTCTTCAGTTGATTGGATCTCTGAGATGAGGTATTATGATTATTTACATTATTTACATTATTCGGACTGTTATCCTCATCTTCATTGTCATATTCACAACGTTTCGGCTTCTATATCTCTGAGATGAGAAAATTTGATTAATTACATTATTTACATTCGGACCGTTATCTTCATCTTCCTCGCCATATTCACAATGTTTCGGCCGTTGTACGCTCCGGCCTTCTTCAGGTGATTGGATCTCTGAGATGTGGTATTATGATTACTTACATTAGTTACATTATTCGGACTGTTATCCTCATCTTATTCGCCATATTCACAACGTTTCGGCCATTATAGGTTCCGGCCTTCTTCAGTTGATTGGAATTTCGAACCGAACCCTTTACTTCGTCCACTGGAGTAGACTGTTCTAGTTCCACGTTCCATGCCTCTTCCGGATGTATCATTTATTTTTCTTTCACCCAAAGAGCTGTGAGTTCAATACCAGGCCACGGCATTGGTGAACCAAACTTGGACAGTTGAATTAAAGGGAAATAACTCAGACATCAATCGTCCACCAGACATTCGAAAGAGAGGAGTTTTCCACCATACAATCCTATTGCTACAGACGAAAAGTGACAAGCCTCTCGCTACTCAATTTTCCTTGAAGGTGTTCTAACGAGCTATATTCTTTTGTTTCACCAGTTCAGACCTCCACAGACATTCACAGCTAGTACTCGCCATTCCATGTTCACAGGGTCGACCCCTCGTCATTCCCTTTGTACTCCATTAGTAAGGAGTAAGTTCCACTCAGACAGCTTCTTCGACAGAACACACTTCGTGGAACAGACATTGGGAAATATGATTCCACGACAACTAGAATCTTAATCTCTTCAAGTCTAAGGGTAACCATTATCTATCCTACTTATTCTGATAATATGCACTTTTTACTTTCTGCTTTTATGCTCTTACATTAACCTCTTTCAGTATTCCTCTACCTTGAGTGGCTCTTACACTTTTTATACTACTGATGAACAATAGTATAAAAAAAATCATCCTGTCGACATTACTACCCTCTATCTACAAGGGTATCTACATCTGAACAAAGAGACGAACTTAAGGAGGAGTGAATAGTGTTAATGTTAATCCCTTTAGCGGTTGAATTTATTTTTAGAATGCCATTCCTATAATCTATCGTATGGAGACTTTTATCCAAGTTTAAAATATATATGGCAAGAAAAATCATTTGGCCCGAACCTCTATACATTTCGTCCCACGTCCAAACCATCAAGGTCTACTTACTTGTGCAAACTTTATGAAGTTGTTCAATAAGGGCTTTTATTCGAACTTCAGATTGTCAGCTTAAATTATGCAACAGCTGTTAGCGATTTGAACCACCAAGTTCTCGGTTTTATGCTCAAACCATCGAGATATACATTTGACGCTTGTCAGTAACAAATATTTTCAACATGGTCTTTCAAATGGCAATTTTTAAAGAATGCTTTTTTAATATACGTTTTATAAATTTTAAATGCTTTTCTTTCCGGCACTACTTAAATTTGCTGGTCCGCTCATAAAAATAGGGAAGACTTTTTTTTAAACAATTTTTGAAGATTAGCAGTCATTTGTGAAATCAAAAGATATTGATTTTTTTTATTATTTTAGAAAGTGTGTGTGTGTGGGGGGGCTTCTGCTCATAATATAAATATAGTGTCAAGTTGACCCCTGACTTCTTGAAGAATTAGCTCCCCTTTTTTTAATTTACTAATGTTAAGTTTGGAACTGTGCTTACGTCATAGATAACTGCGTACAATTACGTTAGTATACGGTTTACTTTGACGTAGTATAATGTTTATTCAAGCTTGTGTCTTTAGATCAATTACTACGAAGTAGTGAGTTCGATAGTTTCGGCCTTGACGCCCCATACTTCCAGCCTTGTGCCACAATTATGCAACGCTTAGTAAATAACTATTACAATGGATTACGGCCATATCACGTTGAATTACCGGTTCCCGTACGATCACCGAAGTTAAGCAACATTGAGCCTGATCAGTACTTAGATGGATGACCGCTTGGGAATACCAGGTGCTTGTAAGCTTGGATGTGCGGGTGGTGTCGTGGATAATGGCTCGGAATTAGTAATCTGATAGTCGAATTCTAATTCTTGTTGGGTTCGTTATATTCACTTACGTGGAAATACCATTGGGAAAAGTATGAACCCACCTCTCCTTCTCCAGCTATGGGTTAATTAGTAATACTTGTGTCACTAAACCATTATTATCTCTGAAAATAGATTCTTACAATCTAAAAATATTTTCTGGCTTTAAATAACCTATAAAGGGTTGCTAAGCCGTAGAAAACGAATCAATCAATCACTATTACGAATTAAGAACAATAAAAGAACAGGAATTAAGAAGACAGAAGATAACGATTTTGAAGATCAAAGGTGACTGCGAAGCAAGAAGCTGGAAGACAGTTACACAAGTGAGAAAGAAACTGTTAGCATTTCAACTGCAAAATGATGAGACCTTGCCGCCAATCTAGTACTGCGCTTAAATTCATAAAATCTAGATACAACAGAGGAAAGCTTATCAGAGTAATTATCATGAAAGTTTTTATACAAAAGACACAAGGAAACTACGTTACGGTGATGGGGAAGTGGCTGAAACTGCGATGCCAAGTCAGGACCAATAACATTGCAGATACATCTTTGGATTGTATCAAGAATCTCTAAATATATACCAGAAGCTCCAGACCAGATGTGGTAACAATATTCAACGCAAGGACAAATGGTAGACTTATAAATATGTAAAATAGATTCTGTCGAGAAAAATTGCCTAGTACGATACATTGAATCATCTTTCTTTTCAGCAGATCTGGCAATAGATTCAAAATAGTCTTCACATTTCATGTCAGAGAAGGCGTAATGAGTCACTTTTCTGGCGATTAGTATCAGTAATTCTAATGGAAGATAAAACGGGTTTTCTAATTTTATTTAAAGCTATTTCTTTTATTTCAAGTCCAGTCTAACTTATTATTATTATTCTCTATGAAGAAGATAGAATAAACTGTTAGCATATAACTTACACTTACATTGAATCATTTCAACTGTAAAATGATGAGACCTAGCAGCCAATCTAGTACTGCGCTTAAATTCATAAAGTCTAGGTACAATAAAGGAAAGTTCATCAGAACAATTACCATTACTTACATTATTTACATTATTCGGACTGTTATCCTCAACTTCATTGACATATTCACAACGTTTCGGCTGCTGTACCCTCCGGCCTTCGTCAGGTGATTGGAATTTCGAACCGAACCTTTTATTTCGTCCACCGGGGTAGATTGTTCTATTTCCACGTACCATGCCTCTTCCAGATGTCTCAGCTATTTCCCTTTAACTCAACTCTCTAAGTTTTTGGTTCACCACTGCTGTGGCCTAGTATTGAACTCACAACTCTTTCGGTCTAGTCATTGGATCTAACCAACGTCTTTATCCACTGGGCCATGTAAATGTTTATCCACTGGGCCATGAATAATGTGAATAATGTAAGTAATCATAATAACTCATCTCAGAGATACAGACGGATAGCAATTAACATGAAAGTATTTATAGGAAAGGCACAAGGATGCTACTTTAAGGTGGTTGGGAAGTTACTAAACCTGAAATGCCAGTTCAGGACCAATAACATTGCAGATTCGCCTTTTTACTTGATTAAGAATATTTAAGTATATAACAGAAGCATCAGTCTAGATTTGGTAGAAATATTCAGTACATGAATGAATTGTAAATTTATAAAAATCTAAGATAGTTTCTGGCGAGAAAAAATAGTCTAGCACGAGACAGCCAACCAGTTTTCCTACCAGTACACCTAGCAATTGATACAATATAATTTTTTCATGTTAGCTTGAAAAGGTGCAATGAATCACTCTCCTGGAGGTTAGCATCAGCCATACTGGTGGAAGGCAAAAAGAGTTCTCTCAGACGATTAAAAGAGAGCCGTTTCATTTTGGGGGCGTTAAAATTAACAAGCTATTCATTGCTTCAGTTATCAGCAGAAAGTAGATCACTTTTGAGATCAGCTGCCAATTTGACCGTATCAAATTGATCAAACTTAATATTAAGAAGAAAAGGACTCTCTGGAGAACCATGATTAACTTCATTGTGGCGAGAAGTTATTAAAAAAATCTTTATTAGCAGACTGATTACTGTCGTTATGAGGTATAAAAAGTGTAGTTTGTAATTTTAATCGTTAATGACGCGGAAACTGGAAATGTCAAGCCCAGTTCAAATACCGGCTTAGTCTTCTACATCTATTTTAGCACGCCCTTATGAAAAGGCATGAACCCATCTTGTCTCCTCCTTCCCGCTATGGGTTAAATAATAGCGTAGACTGGCTCTCTAGCTTTGAGTGGAAACCAGTCTAGGAGAAAGACTATTCTGAATATAAAAATATGGACTATGAAACTGGAAACCACTCTGCTATCCAAGAAGTTCCCAGATTATAAAGAACGGGATTCTGTGGAGGACCATGATTGCCTACGGCCTGAAAAGATATGGTAAAAAAAAAAGGAAAAAAAAAAGAAAACTTAATAAAATATTTGTTGTCGTTATCGGATGTAAAAGGGCGTATTCCAATTTTAATTAGATTTGAAAACGTAAACAACAATAGGAGTGAAAACATAGATGTATTTACCATCTGAGCCACAGCTGCCTAGGATGGGTAACGGTTTATTACGTGTCTTGCACCCATTATAAACACTCCTAAATATTTCTTGAACAAAGCCAGTTTTCGTTCAGAGTTAGATTCTTGAGACACCCAGTGCGGAACGAACTCATTCGCTATGGTGAACACAACTATCCCTAGCACACCTATAACAAGAAGCTTGATTTCAAACGTGGCGCAAGAGCCCTACCCTCTCGTCTTATATACTTGTAAAATCCGCGATAACGATGCTGTTCAATTGAGTTCACAATTACAAACCCGTCTGACAACACACCCTATCCCAATGATGTAAGTCATCGTCTTTCTTTCTTTCTTTCTTTCTTTCTTTCTTTCTTTCTTTCTTTCTACTCGTTCTTTTTCCTTTTAATGACTCTAATCTGAAGCCAACGACATCGTCCGCTGTGACATCATCATTTGATTAACGAATCATATCGCAGCTTTTCACAAAATCTGTCTCTTTGTTTAAAAAAGTATCACGAGTTGTATGCATGTACAATGTGTGTACATCCGAATGTTCAACTATGTGTATACATGAATGGGTGTGCACACACAAACACACGTGTGTATGGATGCTCATGTTTATTTATGTTTTTATATTTGGATTTGATTAAATTAATGTAGATTTTTTGTCTTTTGTTTATTCAGTTCGATGTAACATAATGGTTACCAAGCTCGTAATGTAATTGTTACCGACTCTGTAATGTGGCGATTACCGAACTGGCAATGTAATGGTTACCAAGTTAGTAGTGTAATAGTTACTGATTCCGTAATGAAATGGTTACTGAACCTTTAATATAATGGTTATCGAGCTCGTAATGTAATTGTTACCAAGTCTGTAATGTGGTGATTACCGAACTGGTAATGTAATGGTTACCAAGTTAGTAATGTAATAATTACCGATTCTGTAATAAAATGGTTACTGAACCTTTAATATAATGGTTATAGGGCTCGTAATTAAATAGTTACCTAGCCCGTAACGCAATGGTTACCGAGACTGTAATATAATGTTATCGATCTCGTAATGTAATAATTACCGAGCATGTAATATAACGGTTACCGAGCCCGTAGCGTAATGGTTACCGAGACTGTAATATAAGGGTTAACGAGTTATGTAATTGTTACCGCGCTTATCTCGTAGAACTTCTATATTGGTTGGTTGATTGGTCATTACTTAGTACTCAGTAATTGCGTCCTTGTGCCAGATTAATCTAATTCTAGTAATTAACTTTTCAAATGTGATTTGGATGCCTCGACAGGGTATAATTGTTAGCAAGATAGTCCAGCAAAAAACTACTTCTAGGTTCGAGTCATACTGGGTGTCCATTAATTGTGTCTTTGTGTCAGGTACATTTTAGTAAATACATACCTATCAAGTTCAGAGCACTTACATTAGTTCGGAATGAGTTGGAGTGTGCTTGCTTGAGATTTAAGTATGGCTTAGTCACGTGTCATGAGTAATTATTCGGGATTGGCAGTCGTTCGACCTGCATAAATTAAATTCTTAACAAAGAACTTATAACGAGGAAACTATTTCGAAAGACATTTGTGCAGTGTTTGATAATGAAGGAAGAAGGGGAGAAAAACTTGTCAAAACTTTAAAACTTTAACTTTTTTTTTCTTGTAAGAACAAAAATAAGAAACAATTTATTTTTCTTATATTTTACATACATGCAAGATCTCCACTGTACGGCGAACGCGAGACAACAGCGGTAAAAAGATGGCTTCCGCTTTCTTTATCATACGATAATCAAACACGTTCAAATATTGCCTCTACATGTCGTAGAAATAAACATCGTGACGTTCACTACTGTATTTTCTTCAAATGACATGTCCTTTCAGGACGTAGATGATCATGGCCCTCCGCAGATTCCTTTTCTTTATAGGCTGTGAATTGAAACGATCATTTGGGAAAAAAGATGATGGAATGTTTTCCCGTTTTCTTCTCCCGATTTTCAATTCAAAATAGTATTTCTTCTAAACTGGCTACCATCCAAGGCTCGGCTTACTCTACCATTATAATTTATAGCTGGGGGGAGGAGAAGAGATGTAGTTGTCTTTCCCAAAAGCATTAGGGAAAAAATGAGTGCAATAGTCTAAGTCAAAATTTAATCTCGACTGACAACAATTATTCTACACATATTATTGCACACTAATGCTGATAAGAACGAGGGAATTATAACCATTTACAAAATTAGAGATTGCATTCAGCGCATTTAGTTACAAAATCCAAAAGGAATTGTAAAAAAATTCTGTCTGAGTTTCTGGGATGAGGAGTTATCAATATTTATACGATTTAGATTTGGACTATTGTCTCCATCTTGGTAGTTGTTATCAAAACGTTTTGGCCGTTGAGTAACCTACAT